CAACTGCCAAACCCAGACACCTAAGCCTTTATCACTGCATCTAATGGTTTGCATTGCACTTGGTGATGTAAGGCTTGCATATAACTTCCCAGCCATGGAAACCTATTCCATGAAGCTCTATACGTCACTGTTCTCAAGCTATTCTGAAGGCCACATGAATTATGGAGGTCTATAGTGATTAACCCTGCAGAAAGTTGACAACCTCTATCATTTTGCGCCTCCTCTGACTGTGGAATATTTAGTAGGGAGTAAATTTCACACCTGGACTTGCTTTTGCACAGGTTGTATAATATCACTGTGTCATGCTGGAATTCACTGAGCTCCTGAAAACAACCCATTATTTAACAAATGTTTGTAGAAGCAGCCTGCATGTCTAGGTGCTTGATTTTATATATCTGAAGTTTTTTATCACAGAAGTTATTGGAACATCTGAATTCAATTATTTGAATTGGTGCGTTAAAACTTCTGGTAACATAGTGCACTTCATATATGGGCCATAAATACACGTGGTTATTATTAGGGGTTCCCCAGTTGAGTGAGTAACACACGCCAGTGTTATTTTGTCCAGCACAACATACACTGTGTGGTTAACAGTAATTTTATTTAGAAGTGCAGTTTTGGCCACACACTGCCAGCTGTCTCATACCCAGAGATAACCTTTTCTACTCTACTCTGCACTCAGTGGCTGTCCAGTCCCAGCTTCAGCTCTTCCTTCCAGGTCCTGGCGCTCTACTGAAATAGGGGAGGCATGACTAGATGATAGTTGCCAGTGTCCCCTGGCACTGTCCTCTGAACCCACTTCACCACCCCACTCCTGCAGCCAAGCCTCAGACCACACCCTACTACATGCTGATTGAGGCCACTGTAATAACATTGTAATAACCATTGATACTAAAATCTACTACATAAACGATGTACATTTTTATTATGCCTTTTAAATTCTGAACTAATATAGTTGGCTGAAGTTTTTCTAAGTAACAGACCAGTGCATTTATTCTTAGCTTGCTCTGAATTTAAAGTGCAAAGATGTCTACAAACCAAAGTGCTTTGAGTGCTCAGATAGAGGAGAAAAGCACTACATAAGCATGATGCCATCTGATTTTGTTCCTGCTGGAAGTTCTATGCAACAGGAAGAGTATTATGTGAAATATATAAAAAATTCTAACTTACTAATTTTGGTATATCAGTACATCAAAAAAGGTTTGTGTCTTAAACGCAAGGTAAAGTTTGAACTTATCTTTTGTGCTTATCTTGGAAATGATAGGGCCCATGTCTCAGTAAGCAATCATCTCAAATTCAAATCTGGGTATAGAACTTCAGTCAAATGGCAAAAGGTGATAGGCTGTTCTGAATTTCATCCTTTTTTTGGTAATCTTTGGGCTGATGATCTTTAACCACTTCTCATTTGATTAACTTTGAGTATTCTGATATTGTCTGTTTTTGACATTCATTAGTTTAGGCTCATTTCTCTTTAGCTGATATAGACATTCTTATATGTGATCAAGGCTTTAACCAGGTATGAGGTCCCCATTAGTTAAGTTAAAACATTAAAGGATTAAAACATGTGGTTAAATACACAGGATTTAATACTCTGTCAACTGATCACCA